AGTTGGCAGCATGAGCTTCCATAGACTTAAGTCTACTTCCTCAGATGCGTATGATCCTTGGAAGTTCAAAGCTTCAAAATCTTCCTAGGCACACATGTTGATCTTTAAGATATAAAATGTATATAAACTATACAAACTATCACCATATGAATCTGGGGAAGTAGAATTTAGTCTATGAAAGTTCAGGCTCCCAACTTCTTTCTTTCACTTAGTCCCAAAGGTGCTAGAAAATCTCTCTGCATATTGATTCTTCAGATGAACACGGCTATATCTTCGAATTCACATATCTACACTGTAGAACTGATGTAGCTTGACACCCATTTAGCTGCCATGGCTCCATCCTGCAGAATCCTAGGATGCATAGTTTTGGCGGGCACCAGCCGTCTTGGGCAGGGAGGTCAAAAGACCCTGTAAAACTACAAACCCCGGGATGCCATAGAATGGAGCTACAGAACTTAAAGTGATTCTGGTTGGGCTATGAAGCCCCCTGGGGGACCTTGGATAAGTTCCACTCTCTCGGCCTCAGAGGAAGGCAATGGCAAAATCTTCCCTGAACAAATCTTGCCAAGAAAACCCCAGGATAGGTTCACCATAAGTCAAAAATGACTTGAAGGCACACAACACACACATCTACACTATAGAAATGAAGTGGTTCCCACTGGGCTATGAAACCCACTGGGGAAGGAACTTTGGGGAAGTCACACTATCTCAGCCTCAGAGGAAGCCGAATGGGAAAACCTCTGTAAAGAAACTTGGCAAGAAAACCCTCTGATAGGGTCGCCCGAAGTCGGAAATGACTGGAAAGCACACAAATCATGCACACATCTACACTGTAGAAATGTTAATTCCTGCTGGCTATGAAACCCAGCGGGGGGGGGATTTTGGGCAAGTCACACTTTCTCAGCCTCAGGGGAAAGCAATGGCAAACCTTCTCTGAACCAGTCTTGCCAAGAAAACCCCAGGATATGTTCTCCATAAGTGGGAGACGACTGGAAGGCACCCAACACACACACACACAGCATTTACCCCTTAGAAACGAAGTGGTTCTCACTGTGCTATGAAACCCATTGGGAGGTCACACTCTCTCAGCCTCAGAGGATGGCATAGGGCAAACCCCCTCTGAACCAATCTTGCCAAGAAAACCGAGTGATAGATTCATTTTAAGGTTGTCAGAAGGCAACCCTCAGTACACACACATGTACATTGTAAGAATGAAGTGGTTCCTGTTGGGCTGTGAAACCCTTTGGAAGACCTTGGCCAAGTCACACTCTCTCAGCCTCAGAGGATGGCAAAGGGAAAACCCACTCTGACACAATAGGGGGGACCCTTGGGCAGGACACACTCTCTCAGCCTCAGAGGATCACAAAGGGAAACCACCCTTTGACCCAGTGGGGGGAAGATCTTGGGCAGGACACACTCTCTCAGCCTCAGAGGATGGCAAATGCCAAACCCCCTCTGAACAAATCTTGCCAAGAAATCCCAAGATAGGTTTGCTGTAAATTGGAAAAGACTGGAAGGCACACAACACACATCTACATGATAAAAATGTATTTCCGTCGGCTATGAAACCCAGTGTGTGTGTGGGGGAACCTTGGCCAAGTCACATTCTCTCAGCCTCAGAGGAAAGCAAGGGCAAACCTCCTCTGAACAAATCTTGCCAGGAAAACCCCAGGATCGGTTCTCTGTAAGTCGGGAAAGACTGGAAGGCACACAACACACACAAACACACACATCTACATGATAGAAAAATAATTCCTGTTGGCTATGAAACCCAGTTGGGGGGGGGGAACCCTGGGGAAGACATACTCTCTCAACCTCAGAAGATCGCAAATGGCAAACCCCCCTGAACCAGTGAGGGGGACCTTGGGCAGGACACACTCTCTCAGCCTCAGAGGATGGCAAAGGGCAAACATCCTCTGAACAAATCTTGCCATGAAAACTCCATGATAAGTTCGCTATAAGTCGGAAAAGACTTGAAAGCACACAACACACACACACACACACACACACACAC